ATTCAGTGGTTGAAGCACCTGCCTTGCACACAGCTGACCCCAGTTCTGCATATATTTCCTTAAGCCTAAGCACAGCTGGGTGTGCACACACCCCTCCTCCATCACCCCCAAAAAGTATAGAAGCAGACTAACAGAGCCAGGAGGTGGAGAGCAGGGGTTCAGCATGTTCCTTGCAAACACGTGGTTCTGAGTTCAAATGTCTGTCTCCCAAGAGTCAGGTATGATTGGGTAGCCTTGTTGTCTGAACCTGCTACCTGTGATCTTTGGCTTGGCAAATGATCTCTGGTTGCCATAGCTGTGTGTAAGCACGGGAACAGAACCCCTAGCACACATTAAAACTAAAAAGATATGCATACATCATGGCCAGAAAGCCAGTGTGTGAGCTCCACAGCAAGCCCCAAAGAGCATCAAGACTTGTATAACTCAACTAAGAGAGCAAGCCCTAGAGAGCATTACCACTAAGAGTGCAAACATCAGTGAGCACTGCAGCTGAGTATGTGAGCACCACAACCTGATGTGACCACTGGCAAGCACCACAGCTGAAAACTAATATACACATCAATACCACAGCCAGGCATGTGTGCAAAGCTATCAAGACGTGGGAAGGAGGAATACAATTTTAATTAAAATAAAATACTGATGGATAGAGCAGCAGCTAGGGCTGTTTCAGAGAGATAGTACAGTACAAAGCCAAGAGTCAGCCCTGAGCACCAGTTATTGGGTGGGTCCCCAAAACAAACAACAACCATAAAAACAAAAGAAGAACTTCAGGCTGAGTAGATACAGTATAAATATAGTAGGATTTAAAAAAAACAAAAACACCAAAAAAAAAACTGGAAAAATAGGGGCCTGAGTGATAGTACCGCAGATAGGGTGTTTACCTTGCGTGTGGTCGACGGTTCAATTCCCACCACCCTGAGCCCACCAGGAGTGATCCCGGAGTACAGCCAGGTGCGGCCCCAAAACAAAAAACCTGGGGAAATAGGAAAAAGATCTTTAGTAGAAAAGGAGGTACAGATGCAGTAAAAAGTATCAGAGAAGTGAATAGTGTGCCAGAAGATGCCAGCAAAATGTAGACGAATGTGGGAATTCAAAAATAGAAGAGATGAGGCCAGAGAAAGCTCAATAGGCTGAGCACGGACTTTGTACACTGACGGCCCAGGTTCATGCCCAGAAACAACACGATCCAAGCACTGCTGGGTGTGTCTGCCCAAAAAATAGTCAAGAAAGGACCAATGGAGGCAAATTCTTGAGGCCTGGCTCTGAGGCGGAAAGCTAAAGAGAACTGGAGGTAGCAGTTAGCACACACTGCACATCACAGTGTACAGAGGGTATAGGGATGGGAGAGAGAGGCTTGTCTGACCTGAGTCTGATCCCTGGCACCACAGGCACCACAGCTATGCCAGCAGTGATCCCTGAGGACAGAGCCAGAAGTCCAGAGCACTGCCAGGTGCCCCTCTACCCTCACAAAACAAGAACCGACTGCATAGGCTATAGAAAATACCTGGGCCGGAGCCCTAGTACAGTAGGTAGGGCATCTGTCTTGCACGCGGCCGACCCGATTCAATCCCCAGCATTTCATAGGTCCCCCAAGCACCGCCTACCAGTAGTAATTTCTGAGTGCAGAGCCAGGGTAACCCCTAAGCATCACCAGGATGGAAAGGGCATTTGCTTTGCACGTGTCCGACCCTGGTTTGATCCCAGCACTTGTACAAATGGTCTCTGGAGCCTTGCCAGGAGTGATCCCTAGGCACTACCTGGTGTGGTTCAAAACAAATGACAAAGTCCTTGATGGGGAAGACTTGGTAGATGTGGGGCCATGAGGGCTAATGGAGAGTAGCATGGGAAAAGCCATTAAAGAAGGAATTCCTGTATAAGGAAGAAATTTGTAAAATCTGTCTCAAAAGAAATAATCTAATAATACAGTATACTAGGTAAACTATGCTTTAGGAAACAGTGACATCATTACAGTTCTACAAAGTTGTATTTTCTAAGAATCTTAAGACAAGCTACTAGTTGTTAGGCATTTTAAAGTAGAGATAAAAATGCCCAACCTTAGAATATGTTATTTAGCCACAAACAGATACCTGAGCTCTGAAAATAGGTTACACAACACCACGGACACCCTATTAAGGCATGTGAAGAGCCAAAGGTCAAAAATAAGAAACCTATACACGTCAGCAGATTTATTTATTGCATGAACACCAAGCAGGAAAAGTCCAAATGCAGATTTGCAGATTAGAAAAGTGATCTCTCAAGTAACATGAAAATCAGTGCAAAGGGTATAATGGAACAAGACCTCTCAGATTACACGTCATTCTTAAAGCCTTCTCCCACTTATAGGAAATGTTCAGAAAGGCAAAACTTTAGTAAGTTAGTGATTGACAGGGGTGGAGTAGGGGAATCTGGGAGAACTGCTCATAAGAACTGGGGATTTGTTTTTTTATGTTCTGAAATTAGTTGCAAAATATTGCAAACATACTAAAAATACTAAATCATAAATTTTACAAGGTCAATGTGATAAGCGAATTATTGTTCAATAAAACTATTGTAAAAAATTAAAGGTAAAACTGAAAAAAATGGCACATTTACCATGAACTTATATATAATCAAGCAGAACTATTTAGGTATGACCGTTTAAAAGTACACCCAGAGATCAGAGCAATATAGCAGGTAGGGTCTTTGTCTTACAAGCAGCCAATCTGGGTTTGAATTCTAGGCACCCATAAGGTCCCCTGAGCCCCACCAGGAATACTTCCTGAGCACAGAGCCAGGAGTAAACCCTGAGCATGCTGGATGTGGCCCAAAAACAAGAAACAAAACAAACCACATATATATGCCAAAAGATCAGTAGCTAAATTAGGAATTAAGTATCTCTCTCAAATTCCATTAGGACTATTAATAGAAAACCAAACTGCTTGGCCATGTTTTATAGAATCTCAACAAGGTCCTGTGCTATACTAAGGATAGACAGTAGCAATGTTGAATGCTTCAAGACAAAGCTGCTTTCTTTACAGATATCCTCCCCTAACATTGTTAGATTTTCTTTACATAGCCTTCTAGGTTTTGAAACAGTGACACAAACTAAAAAAAAATATTATATAAATTCTGAGCAATGGAACAAGAACTTTCCTTTGGTTCCTGCTATCAACAAAAAGAATAAACTGGTGGCTGGGGAGTTGCACTGAAGAGACTGTACAGTGGGGAGGGCGCTTACCCACTTGCCCTGCGTTCTGCTGATCAAGGTTGGACCCAGCACCCAACATGGTGCTGCCGCCCCACTAGGAGTGATTCCCTGAACACAGAGACAGATGGAAGCCCTGAGTTCTGCTCCGGGTGGCCCCCCCCAAAAAAAAACAAACAAAAAACCCCTCAAGTTTCACTTAAGGGAAGGGAAAACAAAACAAGTAATTACAAAAACAGTTCTTTCAGGGGCTGGAGGGGTAGGGAGGGGTCTAGCATTCCATAAGGTTCCCCCAAGCTCTGGCTGGAGTAACCCCTGAGAATTGCTGGGTGTAGGCCCCTCACCACCCAAAAATTGTTTCAGTACTGAGTTTGCATATGCTGAATTAAGGGACAAAATAGACATAAGCCACACCAAAGCCAATCCTTAACATATTTTTGAAACTGTTCTAAAAGTTACACACAAAGCTTTTCCATACTGTTATTTTAAAACTATTTGCTTGGTAACGTCTTGCTGAGAAATAATGTCAATGAGTTTTGTCAAGAGTACTTAAAAGATAAGAATGGAGGAAAAAAAATGAATCACTGATTTGTAAAGCTTCAAATGAGTAGGCAGTGATTTTCAGTTATACTATCCTAATCTTTTGTTTCAATTCCTGCTTTAATTACAAGGTTAAAATGTTTCTTGTTTCACTTATATTGACAATGCTGCTCTAACATTTCTAAAATGAAGCTGACACCTTCCTTTTTTTGCAAACTAAGAAAATGCCAGTGAACTAAATTCAAATAACAAACGAATGCACGTCCAGTAAAATAGTAGATACATACATTGTTTTGATATATCAGCAACACCAATTGACAAATTACAAATCCCCTGCATCTGTAAACCAGAGGCAGGTGATACTCCGGTGTTCCTTAGGCGGGCTGCCGAATGCATATTAGTTCCTAAATGTTCCTTTCTCTCGTTTACTTTGCGGCAACTTACTGCCAAAAGGTACTTTGTTTTGTTCTGGAGCCACCGCAGGCGGTGCTAAGGGCTTACTCCTGGCCCCTACTCTGCAGACCATGTAGGCTGCCGGGGGTCAAACCCGAGGGTTGCCGCGTCCAGGCACGCGCTCTCCCGGCTATCCTGTGGCTCTGGCTCGCCAACTGGTTACTTTTAACCCCGCTGGAGTTAAACAGCCTCGGGAGTACAAACACGCGGTTAAAACAGATCTTCAGAACATACAAGCACTATTTTGGTTTCATCTTTTCGGGTGGAAATAACTCCCTCGCCGCAGATGGCTCCTAAGAAATACCCCCCAATTCCCGCCGAGTTTGGTTCTCCGGTATGAGGTTTTGTTGTTGTTGTTGTTGTTGTTGTTGTTGTTTTTTAAAGCTCTTACCAACACAAGAAAATCTAGGAACAGGTTTGTACATCATCACAGTTTCACCCAATGGTGCATCCCCCCGCAGTCAACTGGGAGTCGGGCTCCGGCGAAACGCTCGGCAGCGCGCGACAAGGACGCTCCGCGGGGCCCGCGGGGCCGACAGGGAGCGTCCGGGGCCGTCGGGGCCCGCCGGCGCCCGCACTCCCGAGCCCCGGGCACCGGCCCGCCACGGCCCGCCTGCAGCTCCGAGTCCCCTCGGCCTTCTCCAGAAGTGCCCCTTCGCCTGCCCGCGCGGCTGTCACGCCCAGGGGATCCCTGGAGCGGGCACCGCGACCCAGGACGGGCGCCCGTCCCCGCCCGCGCCGCCCGCGCCGGGGAGAAAACCGGGAGCGCCTCCGCGGGCGAACCGGGGCCGCCGGCGTGCCGGGCGCACGGGCAGCCACTCACCTGCCACGGGCGAGAACGCAAAGCGCAGCTCAGCGTCGGCGCCACAGCCCCGGAGACACGACCACAAAGCGCGATGGCTGCCACGACCCGACTCTCAGCGGCTCCTTCCGGGCAGGCGGTGCCTCAGCCCCGACGGTCCGCGCGCCGCGGCGCCGCGCGACACAGTTCCGCCTCCCCACTGTTCCGCCCCGGAGGTGGTTTTTTTTTTTTTTTTTTTTCCTCCAGCTGACCTGGTCTTCCAGACTCCAACCTTCTCGAGCTCACCCAAGGTATTTTACGGACTCCCGGACTTAAGTAGAGAAGGAAACGACTGTCCCTAATTTGGAGCCATTATGCGTCGACACGTTTTTTGAGACACAGTATTGTGGACCTGGCGGTAGCAGAGTGATGGAGCGCCTGTACGAGACCCCGGGTTGATTCCCTGCCCCGCAAAACAAAAAGAGCAAAATCATCTTCTTAAAGTACAATACAAAAGGCAAAAATTTATCAGATCATGTGTTGGGTGCTGGGTATTGAACTTTAAGTAAGTCTTGATTGTGAACTTCTTTACTGATGAATTTATTATCTGACTAAAGAACGACTGTTCTGGTTTTGGTTTGGGGCCACACTGCTGTTCTCAGGGCATAGTTCCTGGTGCCTCAGGACCACACCTGGTGGGAGCTTGGGTCAGCTTCATGCAAGGCAAGCGCCCTTCTGCCATACTGTCCCTTCAGCCCCCAAAGCATTATCTTTCTTAAATGTGTTTCACTTAAATTTATTTTTCAAAGGTGCCATTTATTTCTGAGCCACATTCTAGAGCAAAGACATGCAAAGAGAGAAATCATTTAGTAATTAAAAATGCCCAAATAGTAATATTTTCAGTGTGATATGACAAGACCCTAGCAATCTTCACACAGCAACAACTGTGCCATCTCACAGATAATTCCCTAGAGCTGTGGCATGTTGCTTCTTCAATGTCTCTTCTTGGAGCTATATTTTATATTATTACCTGCTTCCATCCAAATACCACTGTGGAATGAACAATCCTGCTTTTATTTCTTTGCCAGGATTCTGAAAGTATTGTGAGAAGACTTGGAGAGGAAGTCAACTGCACTCAGTGGGAGGAGGTAGCCAGAGAGAAGCACTCAATGGTCTTAAGTTGGTATAGTCAAATGCTCTCTGACTTAGGTCCAAATGTGATGACAGTGTTTACTAGATTGCTTTTGCGGCTGGAGCGGTTGTACTAGTAGGTAGGGAGCTTGCCTTGTATGCAGCCAATCCAGATTTGATTCCCAGAACCCCATAGTTTCCCCAGATCCGCCAGGAGTGATCCCTGAACTCAAGAGGAAGAATCAGCCCTGAGTACTACTGGATGCGGCCCAAAAAACGAGCAAAAAAAAAAAAAAATCAAGATTGTTTTCAGTGACGCTTACATGGATAGGTTACAAACAAAGCCTATAACTGGCTTTTCTGGATCTCCCTCGCTTGCTTCTTCAGTCTCAGGAAATGCCTTATTCTGTGTGTGTTCTCAATTTCTCCTGCCTTTTGTTTTGTTTTGGGATCACACTTGTCAGTGCTCAGAATTTTCTCCTGGTTCTGTGCTCAGGGATCACTCCTAATAGTGTTCAGGGGATCATATGCAGTGTTGGGAATCAGAGTTAGACCAAGGCAGAGCCTTAACTCTATACTATCTATTTCTCCCGGCCAGTTGTCCATTTTTAAAACCGGAACCACTCCTCCAGGGCTCTCCACCCCTTGTAGCTTGCTCCTATACTCTGTTAAGGGCTCAGCACAGATCTCTTTTTGAAATCTCCCCCCAAACATGGTGAGATAATTTCTTGACAATTTCTCCAGGAACTATGTCATCTTTTTATAATTGTAAAATTAAATAGGTACAGTTGTTTTTCTAAAGTCTTGCCCAATAAAAATTTCTTGAGGTCAAGAACCATTCCTGCATTCCTGCTTTTTCCCCTCTGTTACCCATATTTAGTGCTTGGTATACAATAGCTGCTCGGTAAATCTGATTAATTCATAGCATTAAAAAATCTGTATTATGAAGGACTCAAGGACATGTTTATCCTCAAGGGGTTGAAGAATTCCCTAGAGCTATTTGTCTGTGGGAGGAACCTGTTGTTCCAGTATGGGTTCCCCTCTACTCTCTTTTCCACTTTCCACTCACCGGTCTCGATTTCAGTTTGCTCTAATAAGCACCTTAAGGTGGCCTCTGGCACTGTGCTGAGTGATTAAGATTGCAGCCCTTGTTCTAGATGGCATTTCTCTTCAGATATCCCTGACAATAGGTATCTATTTATTCATTCATTAAAAAAATAAAGCTTGCTATATGCGACATATTAACATTAAAAACAAATTTTTTATTGAAAAGAGAAGAAACAGGGGCCAGAGGGATATTACAGTAAAGCTTTGTCCTTCATGCGGGTTTGATCCCCTGCACCACATACAGTCTCCGGAGCACTGCCAGGAGTGATCCCTGAGCATAGAGCACTGCCAGGAGTGATCCCTGAGCATAGAGCCAGGGTTAATTCTTCAGCACAGCACAACTGGGTGTGGGCTGCAAACAAAAAAATGAGGCAGATTGAGAGAGAGAGAGAGAGAGAGAGAGAGAGAGAGAGAGAGAGAACAGGGCCGGGACATGGCTCAAAGGGTGGTGCACATGTTCTGTCCACTTAAGGTTTTTAATGCTTTCAAGTTGAAATGATTCCCCAAAATAAGGTCTGAAAGAAAACTAGGTAGAATATATTGGTGGGGGTGTAGCTGGTCAGTGGTAGAACACGTGTCTTGCATATTTGGAGTCCTGGGTTCGATCTTCTCAACATGGCAGAAAAGAAAGAAAAATGGTAAGTAGTTGTTGGTAAGAAGATAGAGAAAAAGGGAACCCTTATGTGTTCTTGGTGTTAATATAAATTGATGTAACCACTATAGAAAAGAGTAGAGAGGTCACTAAAATATTGTAGTATATTTGTTTTGTTCTTGTTTTGGGGTCACATCTGGTAACACTCTGAGTTTACTCCTGGCTCCACTGAAGGATCACTCCTGGTGGTGCTCTCAGGGGACCAAATGGATCAAACCCAGTGTCAGGGATCAAACCCAGTCCGCCACATGCAAGGCAAGCACCCTTTGCCTGCTGTACTATCTCTCTGGACCCTTTTTTGGTTTTTATGTTTTGTTTTGGAGTCACACTCAACAATGCTTCTGACTTATTCCAGTTACTCACTCCTGGCAGGTTTGGGGACCACATAGGGTGCCAGGGATCCAACTCAGGTTGGGCACCTGCAAGTCAAGCACCCTGCTCACAATGTTATCTCTCTGGCCCCTGGTTTTTTTTTTTTTTGTGTGTGTGTGTGTGTGTGTATGTGAAATTAAGTTTTATTTAGAGGGGCTAGAGCAATAGTACGGTGGGGAAGGAGCATGCCTTGCTCATGGCTGACCCCGCTTTAATCCCCAGTACCCCAGATAGTTCCCGAGCCCACCAGGAACGATCCCTGAGCACAGAGCCAGGAGTAAGTCCTGAGCACTGCCAGTGTGACCCAAAAACTTTAAAAAAAAGTTTTACTTAGAGACTGGAGGGATAGTACAGTGGGTAGGGCACTTACCTTGCATGTGGCTGAACCAAGTTTGATCCCCAGCATCCCTGAGCACAGGAGTAATTTCTGACTGCAGAGCCAGGAGTAACCTCTGAATATCACTGGGTGTGGTCCAAAACAACAACAACAAAAGTTTTATTTAGGAAGTGTGAGAGAAAAGAGAAAGAAAGTCAGAGTAGCATAAAACAAAGGAAGAAAAATAACTAAAGGATATGGGTGACTTCAAAACAGAATGGGCCCAAAGTTTAAAATAGATATGGCTCAGTGGTAGAACGCATGTTTTGTCGTGAGAGACACTTGATTCTGGCTGTAGAGATAGTATAGGAGGTAATGCACTTGCCTGGTAGGTAGCCAACTGGGTTCTATGTCCAACACATATGGTCCCCTGAGCAACCAATCAGGAGTGATCCCTAAGTACTACCAGGTGTGACCTAATCCCACCCTATGCCTCTCCAAAAAGAGACAGTTGGTTCCTCCTTAGTACCCCTCCTCTGAAAAAGAGAATTACCATATGATAGCTGGGCAAGCTACCAAGAGTATCCCGCCTGCACGACAAAGCCTGGCAAGCTACCTGTGACGTATTCGATATGCCAAAAACAGTAACAAGTCTCAAAATGGAAACGTTACTAGTGCTCACTCGAGAAAATCAATGAACAACGGGGAGATAGTGCTACAGTGCAGTTCTTAGTAATTCTATTTCTAGGTATTTTATTGAAGAGAATAAAAATATTAGTTGAAAAAGATATACATGATCCCCTGTTATGTTTACTACAGCATTATTCACAGCAGTCAGACATATAGGCATTCTAAATTTCTAATTAGGGATGAATAAGGAAAATGTAGGTAAATTTGAGTGGACAGTCAGAGAATTTGACTCTCAAACTACAGTCTAGAGGTTTGGGGCAGAATAGGAAGATAGTTAGCATTGTCTACAGCCATGCCAGCCTCAAAGTGCTTCATCAGAAGCATGCCTGGTTAGTACTTGGGCAGGAGAACATGGTCATTGTAGGATTTTTATTAGTTTGTGGCCACACCCAGTGATGCTCAGGGGTTACTCCTAGCTCTAGCTCTGCACTAAAAAATTGCTCCAGGTGGTGCTTGAGGGAGCTTATGAGATGCTGGGAATCGAACCTGCGTGTACAAGGCAGTCACCCTACCTGCTGTACTATCTCTTCAGCCCCCAATTATTGTGTGTATGAAAGTTTGCTCTGGCAGCAGTGTGTGGGTTGTACTGGAACAAAAGCTGAGATCTGCAACAAGGCTGGTGCAATTGCAATTATGCAGGTGAGAGGTATGGCTTGGGTCAAGGGACAAAGAAATAGGAAGTCATGTAGTAAGGTGGGTAGGGCACTTGCCTTGCACAAGGCCGACCTAGGATTGAGCTCTCGTACCCCATCTTATCCCCTGAACTCTTTCAGGAGTGATTCCTGAGTGCCGAGCCAGGAGTAAGCCCTGAGCATCGCCAGGTGTGACCAAACAGCCCTCCAAAAAAGAAAGAAAGAGAGAAAAAAAGATAGAAAGAAAGAAAGAAAGAAAGAAAATAGGGAGTCGTGTAAGTG